TTTTTTTGATTTGTTTTGTTTTTGGTGGCTGGCCAGTATGGGAATCAAACTCTGGACCTTGGTGTCATCAGCACCACACTCTAACCAACTGAGCTAACCAGCCAGCCTCCAGCCAATAGGTTTTAAAACTTATAACACATGTATAAATTACTAGTAAAGTATACCTTTATTTAAGTCAACAATACATAAACAACCTGAATAATTCTTTAGCCAGTAGAGAAACTGAATCCATTAAAAAAAAAAAAAACTTCTCACAATGAAATCATCAAACCTAAATAATACTAGCAAACCAAATGCAACAGCATATTGCATAAGGTCATTAACTATGATGAAGTGGGATTTGTCTCAGGGATGCAAGGATGGTTAAACATATGCAAATCAATAAATGTGATATACCACATTAACGGAAATAAAGACAGAAACCATATGATTATTTCAATTGAGGCAGAAAAAACATTTAACAAAATTCAGCATTTCCTTTATAATAAAAACTCTTAGCAAACTAGGTATTGAAGGTATGTACCTCGATACAGTAAAGTCTATATATGACAAACCCACAGCTAACATTATACTGAATTAGAGAAAGCTGAAACTTTCTCTCTTAGATCACAAACAAGATGAGGATGCCCACTTTCACCACTTCTATTTAATGTAGTACTAGAAGCTCTAGCCAGAGTAATTAGATAAGAGAAAGAAATTAAAGTCATCCAAATTGGAAAGAAGGAAGAAGTCAAACTGTCCCTGTTTACAGATGATATGCTTTTTTTTTTTTTTTTTTTGCAGCTCGCCTGTAACTGAATACAAGTTCTTGACCTTGGTATTACAAGGCCATGCTCTAACCAACTAAGCTAACCAGCCAGCCCTGACATGATCTTATACATAGAGAACTCTAGAGACTCCACCAAAAGTCTCTTAGAACTAGTAAATGAATTCAGTAAAGTTGCAGAATACAAAATCAACATACAAAAGTCACTAGCATTTCAATATACTAATAGCAAGCTATCTGAAAAAGAAATCAAGAAAACAATTCCTTTTATGATAACTAAAAAAAAAAAAAAAAAATTAAATACCTAGGAATAAACTTAACCAAGCAGGTGAAGGACCTCTATAATGAAAACTGTAAAACTTTGAAGAAAGAAATTGAAGAGGACATAAATAAATGAAAAGATATTCCATGTTCAAAGCTTAGAAGAATTAATATAGTTTATTTTATTATATATTTTATTATTATTGCTATTCCACCCAAAGAAATCTATGATTTATTGCAATCCCTATCAAAATACCAATGACATTCTTCAGTAAAATAGAAAAAAAAATTCTAAAATTCATATGGAATTAAAAAGACCCCAAATAGCCAAAGAAATCCTGAAAAAAAATGAACAAAGCTGGAGACATCACACTACCTGACATTAAATTATACTACAAAGCTATAGTAACCAAAACTGCATGGTACTGATATAAAAACAGACACATAGAAAAATGGAACAGAATAAAGAGCCCAGGAATAAATTCATGCGCCTACAGCCAACTGACCTCTGACAAAGGTGCCAAGAATACCTATTGGGGAAAAGACAATCTCTTCAGTAAGTGGTGCTGAGAAAATTGGCTATCCACATGCAGAAGAATGAAACTAGACCCTCACCTCTCACCATATACAGAAATCAATTCAAAATGAGTTAAAGATATAAACCTGAAACTATCAAACTACTGAAAGAAAACATGGGGGGGAAAGGGCTGTTTAGTGCAGTTGGTTAGAGTGCAGCCGTATAAAACCAAGGTCATGGGTTCAGCCCTCCATACTGGCCAGCCACCAAAAAAAAAAAAAAAGGAAAAGAAAACATAGGGAAATGATCCACAACATGGGCTGGCAAGGATTTTTTAAACAAGACTTCGAAAGTACAATCAGTAAAAGCTAAAGTAGACAAGTGGGATTACGTGAAACTAAAAAGCTTTTGCACATCAAAGGAAATTGCCAACAGTGAAGAGACAACCTACAGAAATTGAGAAAATATTTGGAAACTATACATCTGACAAGGGGTTAATATCAAGAATATATAAGGGACTTAAACAACTCAAGAGCAAAAAAATGAATAACTCAATTGGGAAATGGGCAAAGGATCTTAATAGACACTTCTCAAAAGAAGACATACGGGGGCCGGCCCGGTGGTGCACTGGATGGTGCGCCGCTTGGGAAGCGCGGCGGCGCTCCCGC